TTGGAGAAGTCACTCAGTCTCTCTGAACCTCAGATGGGCCACTGGCAAAAAAGAAGATGGCACAAAGGTCTCTTCCCAACGGCAGGTATGAAAATGAGGCGGGTACAAAGAGCTTCGACATGACTTGCATTGAAGGAAGATGTGCATTCAGATGCATGCAGGGCCTTCTCATGAGCTCTCACATGTTCTCCTGTCGGCGCCCCAGGCATCCTCTGCAGTGACGTGACTGCATTCACGTGTGCACTCAACATGTCTATCCGGTCAATGAGGAAGCTAAGGCTCTGAGAGGCTGGGAGATGTCAGTCATTTACTAAACTGGAAACCAGCCCTTGGGAGCAAACTGTGCTCCGTTTTACTGTAGTGAGAAGAGCCAACCGGAGTTCGGTTCTGAGGTTAACAGACACGTGATCTCCTTGGAATGGTTGATGGGTGAGAGTTAGGAGGCCTGACCTTGAAACCAGACTGCCTGGGCTTGACTCCGATTGCCCATTTCCTTAGCTGAGTCAAGCTGAGAGTGTTTCTTCACATCTCCGTGCTTGAGTTTCCATTTGTAAACCTGAGAGGAGCGGTAGCAGCTCCCCGATAGGGGGGCTTTGAAGATGAACTATACAAAATACTCAGACCCTGCCCCGCACACAGTGAGTGCTCAGTGTACTGCTGTTATGGTAGCTGCTGCTTGGAGCCGACCCCAGCCTCTGTGACCTCGTCCTGACCGGGTAAAGGCTCCCCGCCCCAGCCCCAGGAGAGGTTATGGATGGTACCCTGTGATCATCATCTTGGCTGGCTTATTTTGAGAACTAGATTGACAAACTCTCCTTCCTAGTCCAGTCTCATCTGGAAGCTCCACGCGGTACAGCGATGTTCCACCCGGCCCTGGCAGACCAGAGGTGGCAGTTCATAGCACCGGATGGGCTGGGAATCAAACTCCTGGCACTTGTATGGATGGCACTAAGGCTGCCATGGAACACGCCTGCCCTCTCCCTATAAACATTCAAAGCAAAACCAGTCAGAACCCTTGGCGACCGAGACCATTCTGCCTCGTCGCAACCTTACAGGAGAGAGACACCTTGGCTCCTGTGGGTCTCCCGGCTGTGTTTCCTGGAACAGGCAGCCACATCTTGCTGCCGCCCAGCAGTGGTGAGTGTAGACTGCCAACCCTTCACTCACCGCTCTTCTTTGTAAAGAGGCTAAGGCACACTTTCTGCTCTATGCAGCCGCTTATTTAAAGAAAAGCAGAGTTACAGAATGCGGCCAAAGCCTGGGGATTGTCTAGCCCTCCCCTCATGCACTCGTTCATGGGTGAGTGACTCCCTGGGAAATGACCTGCCCAAGATCACTGGGTCCTGCTGACCTTGGACCCACCCGCAGCTTTCTGGTGAAGTCGTGGGTTAGATGTTGGGCTGCCAACCACAAGGTCAGCAGCTCAAACCCACCAGCTGCTCTGAGATAGAAAGAAGAGGCTTTCTACTCTCATCAAGAGTAGCAGTCTCGGAAACCTTCCGGGGCATTTCTACTCTGCCCTCCAGGGTCGCTGTCAGTGGAGTCCACTCCTGGCAGGAGGAGAGAGAGGGAGATGACCCCCCTGCCTGGCAGTCGTGTGTGTTTGGTCAGGAAATGGCACGAGGAGATGTGAGCAAGTGGAAGAGGCAGAGTGATGTCTTGGGAACTACCTCGGGGGAGGTGAGCTGGATGGAGCCTGCAGGGGAGGGCGGAGGGAAGGCTTGGGGGGGTGGCAGCCACCTCTTGCTCTCCTGCAGACCAGGGGTCTTGCTGGGGGGTCCCGGCCAGCCGGTCGGGACCGCCCCGCGGCCGTCCGCGAGCCCCGACACGTCGTCCCGAGGGCGCGGCTCGGCGGGCGGGCGGGAATGAGATCCCGGCGTGGGCGGCTGCCTGCTGGCCGGGGAAGCCGCGTGGGTTGGGCTCTGGCGCCACCGCGTGGCCGCGCAGGGCAGGCTGTGCGCACTGCCCGGTGCTGCCGCGTCCGCCAGGGCCTGGCTCAGAGGTCACTCTGAATTTCACAGGCAGGGAAACGGAGGCCGCGGGACAAGGGTGGAGGCGAGAAAGCGCTTGTGCTAGCGATGCTCAACCTGTGGGTCGCGACCCCTTTGGGGGGGGGTCAAACGACCCTTTCACAGGAGTCGCCTAATACATCTTGCATATATTTACATGACGATTCATAACAGTAGCAGAGTTCCAGTTATGAAGTAGCAACGAAAATAATTTTATGGTAGGGGGTCACCACAACATGAGGAACTGTATTCAAGGGTCGCGGCATTGGGAAGGTTGAGAACCACTGGCTTATGCTCACCTCTGCCTCACTCCATTGCTCTGAGGTGGGGGGGGCTCTTTAGACCTGGAGGGGGTACCAGGGAGGACGGAGAGACGAAGAAACCTGGGGTATGGTGGCGGGCATGTGTTTGCAGAGTTTTCAGGACCCTCGAGCAACCGGTGCGGGGCGGGGGTGGGGGGCCTTCACACCTCTTGGGGTCCCACAGCGCCTGCTCTGCTCGGGCAGCTGCTGAGGTGTCCAGGAGGTTGCAGGAGAGCCTGGCTCGGCCCCACACTCGCCGAGTGAGGGTCTTCTTTTCTGTCCTCGTCCTTACGCTATAAGTTGGACTAGATCAGGACCCAAACCTCGTCACACTACAAATCAGTGCCCTTCATTATCCCCTGGGAGCCCGAGGATCGAGGAGGAGGGTGCAGAGGGAGGTTGGGGCTGGTTGGGAGGTTTGGCTCTAAGACCTGGACATCGGGAAATTCTGGACCCAGGTGAGGTTCCAGAAGTCTGGGGACTCCATTGTAGCACCTGCTGTGTGGGCTGGTTGCCTGGAGACAGAATTTAAGGACTGATTTCTGACTCAGTTGTAGCTAATCAGCACAAGGACAGGAGGCACTAGCTTGGCCAGCTCCCACCTCATTTCTTCCCAAGACCCAGGAAGGGTTTCCTTGTGATTCGTTTCTCAAGATTGGCTTTTCCTGGCAGACGTTCTAGTTGATCAGCAGACTCTAGACCCATTGCCTTCCGTTGCCTTAGCTGTGACAGAGGGAGAGACCTGGGGCCTGGGAAAAGCAGGCCTGGGGCAGGGGGGTATCCAGGGGCCTCAAAAAGAAGGTTCAACTCTGCCACGTGCCATGCCCTCATCAGCTATGCCCCCAGGTGAGGCTAGAAAGGACAGGGTCTGTGGTTTGAGTGTGCCCCTGGGAGAGTATACATGTATGGCCTGGCCCATGCTGAGGGTCTTTGACCAATGGCACTGTGTACGGTAGGTCCAATGTATAGCTAGCCCTGGGTTTGGGGATGAAAGGAACCACATCTCATCTGTGAGACCCACATGGCTATTTGACTTTGACCTGGAACCCCTGGACCTAAGCCAGAGGCTTCTTTGCCCCCTGTTGCTCTCTTCCCATGCTACCATGGGATCTGAACAGTCTGGCCTCTGATTCAGCGTCTATGTATCTGGCCCAATACAAACTCCTCAGCACACTCTCCCCTTACAGCTTAGGCCCCACCCCCAGCAGCCCCAGGTTTACTGCGGTCATCACTGTCCTGGGGGGGCGGGGGGGGCAGAGCTCTCCTATAGCCACCCTATGTGAGATTGGGTTCTGTATAGATTCAAAACCACGGACGCTTGTATAAGCTGTCTGCACAGAGAGATCTCTATCAAGAGACGGCTTACTTGCACAGTTGTAGAAATGGGTGAATCCAGTCTGGTGCAAGTCAGGCTTCTCCTAACTCTTGGGAGCCAATGTACATGAAGGAGGATGGTGAAACAGAGGTAGCAGGGGCCACAGGCTGGTGGGGGCAGAAGTGCAAAATCAGCAGAATGAATCCACGACAGCTCCTGGGATCCTCAGGCAATGGACCAGGCAATCCCTTCAGTCGCAAGTTCCAGCCCCAGCAGCAGGGGAAAGGCCGAAGGGGCTTCGGCTCTGCTCGGTCTTTCTTGTTCTCATACCAAAAGGCTTGTGACAACAAAGAGGTGTCACTAGGTTGCAATTCAATGGATAGCTTGAGCTTTGCCCCCCACCCTTATCTAGGGGTGTCTAGTTGACATAATTCCTAACCAGCACACACCCTTCTCCCCTCTCTCGCAGCGATTCCACTGACTTTATGAGATGGGGTGCAGCGAATTCCCTGCCCGTTTGCAAGCTTTTTTATTGATTGTATGGATTTGCAGAACTGAGGCCCAGAGAGCGGCAAGGGCGAGTGGGAAGAGCTGCAGCCAGTAGGCGGTGGGACCTGGACTAGAACCAGTACTGAGGATTTTGTTTCAATGATCGGCATGTGCTAAATGATCGCTAAACAAACACAAGAAAAGGCCAGCCTCACCCGTGTAGCAGGAGACAGCTGGACACAGACATGGAAGTACCTATGGGCGGCGGAGCACCCCTTCCGAGTTTCTTCCCACATCTTTTCCCGAGTGGAGCGGTGTCTTTCTCCGCTCGGCGTCTCTCTCCTTGTCTCGCCACTCACTGCAGGGAGTGTCTGGGGAGAAATACGGGGTTTGTCCCAGCTTCAGAAAGCTCTGGGAACTGCAAGATCCGAAGTTCAAAACCACCAGGGCTTTCAGGGAGACAGTCAAGGCTTTCCACTCCTGTAAAGAGTGACAGTCTCAGAAACCCACAGAGGTCGTCCTTCCCGGCCCTAGAGGGTCTCTAAGAGTTGTCAGTGAGTTTGGTTGGGTCTCAGCTTCGCTGGGTAATTCCCTTCAGAGGTCGACTCACCCCAGGCCTCCCCATGGCTGTGAGGGCCCCGGCGGGGTGGCCGCGGCCTTGCTCACCAGCAGTGGAAGGGTGCTGAGTATGGCTGGCCCCGTTGTCTTGGGTCGTCTCTGTGGCTCATCAGGGTCCTGTTGTGGCCTCACCTGTGTGTTTGGGGACCCTGGTCCTCTTGGTCGTCAGTGGGTCTAGTGCTTCACGCAGGCCAAGCATTTTGGAATCAGATAAAAGGGCTACTTGATGATTTTAAATTATTTTACACCTTTATGCTTGTTGCAATGATGAGGCAGGCAGTGTCCGAGGTCCTCGACCTTCACAGGTGGGTCACCATTGGCATCTCAATCAGAGTCAACACCCAGTCCTCTGAGATGGAGATCACACACTTCTTTCTCTATCCTTTTGACTGCGTCTGACACCAGCTCATTCTCCCGTGACACTCTGTACTTCTCTGCTGTCGTTGAAAATTCCCTGCAGTGGCACAGAACTCCCAGACCATTTTACAGAGGCAGAGCATCTTAGGGAAGTAACAGGATCAGGCATGGCTCAGCACGCAGATCTTTGGTCAGGACAACTGCTTCTAAGTGATGCCTTCAGACAGGCCTCACTTTGGCCCTCAGCCTCTTGGCCTCTTGGTCCAAGGCCTGGTCTCTGCCCTGCTTAGGCAAGTGTTGCAAAGCTCTTTAGCTCCACCAACAAGTGCTCAGGAGTATGCTACACCGCCAGAAAGGCTCGAGCCAAAAGATGCTCAGCTTTCTGTAGCTGCCTTGCTTCATGGACCAGGAAGTCCACTGTGCCATCTCATGCCAGTCTCCTGCTTCTGTTGCTGCCATTTTTCTGATGCCACTTCTTGCATCTTATACCATCTCTGGTGGTACAGCTCCCTCTCTGTCTCCTGGATCCAGGATGTCCTCAGTGCAGGGACATCGGATCCAAAAGACACCCTCTGGTCCTGGCTCTTCTTTCTTGACCTTAAAGGCCCTAACCGCATGCTGACCAAACCCCTCTCTAGGGGGCCATACACCTTATTTGCATGAATCCACCCCTCCCAAGGTCCCATGCCCCTTAGTTGAAATATTAACACGTTGTTCAATAAGCACCTTATTTGCATAATCCAACCCACTCATTTTGTGGGAGTCACAAGAGCATGCAAGGCTAGAAGGATCATATTAAGTAATTCACTACACTACAGCGTTTCCTATGTTTCTGTTTCTAAAACAAAACACTTTCATAAGGTACAAATAAAGTCCTTGGGCAATGCCCCGATTTTCCCATTACTCCAGTGGGAAAAGACACGGCCCTGTACAAGCTCCACCTTCTGACGCACTTTCCCAGGACTTTGCTGCAAAAGTACACATGGCCTGCCTCCCTCTGAGATGCTTACGACCATGCCATCCTACCGGACTCTTCAGCCATTCCTGGAGCCACCGACTCACTTCACAGATGTTTCCCAAGTGCTTGTGACTCAGCAGGTCCAGTGGGAGGCACCGGGGCTGTGGCAGGGAAAAAGGTAGACCAGGTCCCCACGCTCAGATTGCTCCAAAAGAGAGAGGAAGGAGGAGAGACTAGGAAGTGTGGTTGGAGAGGCGGGCGGGGTCTTAAAAGTAAAATCAAAGGGTTTGGGCTTTATTTGAAACATCACAGGAGACCACTGGAGGGTAGAGAGAAAGGGAGTGTCATGGAGTCCTGTGTGGATTTAGAAGCCCCCTTTTGTGGCCGTGTCATGAATGGGCTGTTGTTGGGTAAGAGGGGATGTGAAGAGACCAGCCGGAGGCTCCTGCCTGGACCAGGAAGAGGTGATGGAAGCTGGGGAGAGTGATGGAGACCGAGGGGTTAGCTTGCCCAGACCCAGCTGTGTACTGGGCAATGCTTGAGGACAGCTGGGCCTTGGTCCAGTGTCCATTGTGCTCTCTCCCTTTGTGACTGGCATCCCCACTGGCACAGGGAAACATGGCAGACTGCACATCCCTGAGGGATGGTTGAGATAATCATGGGCTTGCTCCCACTGCTGAGTTCATTGAAGGGGTTCCTAGAATGCTAGACAGTCTATGGCTCCTGCTCTTCATCTCGACTAGACCCCAAAAGTATGCTTCTGAAACTGCTGCCCCCTCTGACCCTGGGCCTGCCTCAGAGCCACTGCTCTTCAGAGACCGAGCTCAGCTTAGAGCGCGTGTCCCTCTTCCTTCTCGACTGTGGGCCAGAGACTCGGTTTCTGGAAGTTCAGGTGGGTGTGAGCATTTGGGGTGATCCTGTATGGCTGTAGCATGGCTATCGACTGCTTCCCGGGCAGTCTATACCTATTTCCTCACTGTCCTTCCCACCAGCCCTATGATGTGGTTATTATTCCCCCAAGGACAGTCGGCTTCTCTGAGGATCATCATCTCAGCAACTGGACTGTAAGTTCACAGGTTTGGGTCTCGTGAGATGCACACATCTGTTGCTGTCAGAAGGGCCCCGAACAACTCTGAGTTACTCCCCATCCAGCTGTGGGCTCTTAGGCAGATGTGTCCATCTTTCTGAGACCCAGCTTCTCTTCTTGTCTGTACAATGTGGCAAATTAGCTCTACCATCTCGTGAACAAACAAAAAACAGTTGCCTTTGAAAGGATTCCAGCTCACGGCCACTCCTGGAGTGTCAGCAGCGTAGAGCTGGCCTCGCTTGTGTTTTCAACCACTGGGCTTCCAGAAGTGGATTGCCAGACCTCTCTTCTGCAGTGCCAAGGGCTGGGCTTGAACTCGCAAACTGGTTGGTGAACGGCTGCATGTGTTAACACCTTGCACCAGCCAAGGTGTCCAGCAGGAGTTTATCGAGCCCTCATCCCATAGCGTTGAGTGGATTCTGACTCACAGTGCCCGTGCGGCAGCGTGGAACTGCCCCACAGGGTCCTCAAAGCGGTGGGCTTTACAGGAGCAGACAGCCACGTCTCTCTCCGCCTGAGCAACTGCTGGGTTTGACCTGTGGACCCAGAACACATAACCAGAGGAGCTGAACAAAAATCAGTTCCCTTTCTTTCCCTCCTACTGAGAGAGTAGCTTTTTGGGCTTGGGTAATTGAGGTGAAAGTCTTGCTGGAAGATCCCTCTAGGGAGCCTGCACCCGAGAAAGCCCACCCGCTGAGATCCCCTGTCAGGCATGGGGTCAAAGAGGGTTTGACTGCAAGGTTTCAGAACCCAGCAGGGGAGAGTCTGGCCTATGATCATACCTAGCATTAGCCTTCCTTCCCCATCTCCACCCCTCCCAGCCCCAACTCCTACCCCCATGCCTTCACTCTTGAGACATGAGGTTGGGAGAAGCCCGCGATCTCTACCCAAGACATGGGAAAACTGCAGGGTGAAGGAAGCAAGGGATGCCCTGCGTGGCGTTTGGTCGTTGGAGACGCTCTCACGGTCTCCAGCCCCACCCAAGCTCTGTGTTTTGTGGCTCTCTCGGCAGGTATATCCGCACCATGTACCTGGGCATTCAGAGCCAGCGGCAGAAGGAACACCAGCGACGCTTTTACTGGGCTATGATGTACGAATATGCAGACGTGAACATGCTGCGCCTCCTGGAGACCTTCCTGGAGAGCGCCCCCCAACTGGTGCTACAGCTCTGCATAATGATCCAGAAGAATAGCGCTGAGACGCTGCCCTGTGAGTGTCCCCGCCCGGCGGGGGTGGGAGGGGGTGGGGGGGACGGGGACGGGACGGGGAGAGGGATGGAGGGGTGGGGCTGGAACCGGCCCTGCCTCTGACCTCTGACTCTCCTCTCACACTCATGGCCTGCGTGAAGCCACCCTCTGTGGGCATCCCCGGTCCCGCGACGCCCCGGCCTGACTGGCGCTGCCACTTAACACTGCCCTGCGGTGCAGGCATGCCTTGCCCCTCACCCCTGCAAGCCAGCTTCGCCTCCCAATTCATAGACTCAGAGCAACGTGTCTCAGAGCCACGGAGCCAGCCAGGAACCTCCACTCGGACAGCTGAAAGAGTCCTGGGCTTCCAAAGCTGGCGGACGGGTCCTGGCGAGGGGGTGGCACATATATGGAATTGTGGGGGTAGGGTCGGGTGCGAGGGTGGTATCCTAAATATGGCTTAGGATAGCACAGCGTGACAGATAGATGGACGACGTTAGGCAGTCCCAGTTTTCCAGCATGTGTTCAGCTGCGGCCCCAGCACCAAGCCAGGCCTGTGCAGGAGCTTCCCTGGTCAGACGTGAGCGTGGAGGAGTGCAGAGCCCGGCACCCCCAGCTCCTCCCTCTCCTCTCCCTCCTGCCCCTCCCGGGAGCCCTTGGAACCCCTCTCCTCAGTAGTGGAAGTCATGCTGGACTAGAGACCAGGGGGAGTCTTTGAGCTGGGCCAGGCCCGCCTGCTACTACCCTGGGTCCAGAGGGGGCTGTACTGACTGCAGTGTCTTCTGGGACTCAGAGGGCGGAGGCTGAAGGAAGTGGGGACATGCGACTTTGGACACTTGGAAAGGGATGGTATGGGGACCCGTTGCCCTCAAGGGGCTTCGGACTCAGGGACCCTCAGGGGTAGAGTAGACCTGCCCCGGAGGGTTTCCGAAGCTGTAGTCTACAGGCAGCGAACTGTCCCGCCATTCAACACCAGAGCAGCTGGCAGGTTGGAAGCACTGGCCTTTAGGTCCCCAGCCGAGCGCTTAACTGCTGTGCCCCCAGGAATCCTTCTGGTATGGGGAAGGATGGTTATGTGGCTCTGTGTGGTCAGCCCCCAAGGGTAGAAGAAGCTACAAAGAGACCAGTGTCAAAGTGACAGAAGACACTTCACACAGGGAGGGCAGTCACCCGTAGGACAAGCTGTCTCAGGAGGTGGTGGGTTTGCCGCCCGTGGGAATACTCCTCTGGGGATACACATGCCCACATACTCTCATTTGTTGGTGGAAGAAGTTGAGGATGTGCGGAAATCAAAAAGCTCCTGGATAGCCTATCTCCAGGGTGTCCGTGGACGCAGGCCATCTGCTTGGGCAGTGAATTCATGGTCCCTCTGCCCGTGTTTCTCAGGACGGCAGGGAAAAGCCACCGGGTGTAACACTGAGTGTGTGTGACAGTTCTGAGAGTGTCGTTTGTTTTCAGCACCAGGAGAATTACTTGGTGATCACTCTGAAGGCAGACGAGTCACGGGGATATCTTTGAAATACACGTTTTTGCTCTCTAAGCCCAGTTTTGGTGGATCCTCACCCAGAGCTGCCACCCCTGGCACCAGGATGAGGTGCCCAGGGAGAAGCCATGTCTAGCTGCTCGAGTGCGATCCCCAGGGGAGGGGCTTCATAGGGCAGAAGATGCTACAAGGAGACATTATCGATTCAGGACCTCATCTCTTCTCACATCCTGCAAATTGCAAGCCAGAAAAACAATGTGACCGACAGACAGATAGATAGAAGATAGGTAAGTAGGTAGGTGGGTAGATAGATAAATAGATAAATAGATAGGTGCTGATCATTAAACTCTGGCTCATGGTGATTTATGTACAAAAGAATGGAATATTGCCTGACCTAAGCCATGGTACTTTCAATAGCCTCATGTGAATGTGCAAGGTGGACCTTGAATAACGAAGTCCGAAGAAGAACGGATGCATTTGAATGTGGTGCTGGAGAAGCATCTCCAAAGCACCCGGCGTGCTGCAAGGACAAACAAATTTGTCTTGGAAGGAGTAAGGTCAGAGGGCTCCTTCGAGGCAAGGGGACGAGACTTCATCTTACAGACTGTGGTGAGACATCAGGTTTTCGCTGGGTGATTTGTGAAAGATCACCAGGTCTTCCTTCTTACTCTTAGCCTGGAAGCTCCACTGAAAGACCCTGCTGGCATTTGAAGTATGCAGCCGGGGTGGGAACTGGCAGTTGAAGTATTCGCTTGCAGCCCCCCTCGGTGCACTCAGCGCCACAGTGCAGCGAACTCACAGATGGGTGGAGGGACAATGCTGGGGCGAAGCTGACCCGGTGATGCTTGCTCTCAAATCCACATTCTCCTGCTCAAACCCAACCCTCCTGGGCTCCCAGGTGCCATCTGAACTGCTCTTTGCTGTTTTAGTTCCTACCTACCGCCCCGCTGCCTCCCGAGGCAGCCAAGGTACACCTCGCGTCTTGTCCTCTGCCGAGGTCTTGAGCAGATTCCAGGTCCACTGGTGGCGCAGTGCTTAAAGCACTTGGCTGTTAACCCACAAGTCGGCAGGTTCCACCCGCCAGCCGCTCTGTGTGAGACGGAGGGGGCGGGTGCACAGCTGCCTCAGAGACGCAGGGGAGCAGGTCCACCATCAACGAAGGGCAGTCCATTGGGGTTTGGGTTTGGGTGTCAGTTGCTAGGGCAGCCGAAGGACAGTTCGTGAGGCCAACTCCAGAGCTAATCACATCCAGAGCCAATGATCACCGGTCCACCTGTTGCCATTGTAGACATGACCTTTCACTTGGCTCAAATTCTCACTCATCTTTGGTAAACGAGGGAGATACTCAGATCAGCTTTGAGAGAGAATGGAATGATGTAAGCGGAAGCGCTTTGTAACGTGTCCAACTCCACAGGCAGGTAAGGGGTGTTTTGCCATTCCCAGGGCTGGCTGGGGCAAGGTACTAGAAGATTTGTTTTCTTCCTCTTTGGCTCTGTGGGGTATTCTTGTCCCAAATGGCTTGCCATACCTCTGCTTTCCATAGCATCTTCTCAGACCACAAACACAGAGGGCTGGGAGGGAAAGGGGTTGGGGGTGACAAGGGATCAGGGTCATGCAGCCCTGGGCTCTCGCCTAGGGAGCATCCGGGCCCCTCCATCCACCTGGCCCTGGCAGCCATCATTGTGCCTTGACAGCTGGGAGGTCGGCTGAGCATTTCCCACGTTTGGAAATCATATGTCATGGCCAAGTGCGTTTGGAAACTGCTGGGCTAAACACAGATCAGTGGCAAGCTTTGCCAAGGGTTGGGGATCCCCAAGACAGGGATGGGAAGTGCAGTGTTTGCTGGGCTTGTTGTGGCGCAATAGGTAAAGCATTGTGCTCCTAATGGAAAAGTCAGTGGTTCAGGCCACCACCCCCACCCCCATCCCTGGGCTCCTCTGCTCCCATAGATGTTCACAGCCTCAGGAATCCTGTGCGGCAGTTTTCTTCTGCCCAACACAATGCCTGTGAGTTGGACTCACAGTGACTGTGGGTTCAGGTTAACTTCTAGAACTTCTTCGTATCACTGGACTATTTGGTTAGGATGATGTCTATTTTCCCATAGTGAGTTTCATGTAATGTACAGCTCTTACGGACATGAAATATGACTAAAGGGTTTGGAGGGAGGTTGTGCAGGGCACATTCAAGAACGTGGGCGCTGAGGGTTGGTGAGAGGGGCTCTCTGAGGGCTGGAAGTTGGGCTCCTAGCCTGGCTATTTGCCAGCTGTTTGCCCTTTGGCTCGTTACTTAGCCTTCCTGACCCTCAGTTTTCTCATTTCTACAATGGGGATGATATTAGGGTCTCCCTCGTCGGGCTGCTATGAGCATTAAATGACACACATGACAGAGATAAAATGGCTTTGGGAGGCATGTGATACACTGTGAAGCCTGTAACGGTACTGACTGGCAGACACTGTGGTGGTGGTAGCGCTTTTACTGTAGGCACACCTTCTGAGTTGATCTACAGGTCTTCCAAGGAGAACAGAATTGTGGCTCATCAGCTTTTCTTTGGTGTGCGCCTTGTCACACTTGGATGATGCCTGCCCGCTTTGGACTGCTAATGCCAGCAGACCGTTTCCAAGATCAGAATGCTATCACCGTCACTCTGAGGGGCAAGTTTTCTAATGATCCTCCCCGATGCCAACCCCTCCCACTCTGGCCAACTCTCATTCTCAACTCCTCTCGAACCCTAGGTTCATGGTACAACATTGAGCTTGCACGACATATGTGCATCTAGTTTCTCCCTAAGTACAGACCCAGCAAAAATAATAATAAAGACAAATATGAGGCTATCATGCTAAAGCCATGGGAGCATTGCAGCAGGGATGTCCTGAAACCTGATGTCTTAACATTTTAAAGACAGAGATGAAGGGAGCATGTCCTGCGGCTTGCCGTTTACCCTGGTGGTGAGTCTCGTGTCTGCTGAACGCTTTGTTAGTATTATGGGTATGTGGCAAGGTGTGGGAAACAGGCGGGCAGCTACAGGTGTAAATTGTAGCTCCATCATTTATTGACTTTATGATGAGGGGAAAGCTAATCTCCAAACTGGATTTCCTCCTTTGTAAAGAGGGGATAATGACTATATTCTCAGTTGCCATGAAGGTTAAATGAGGGACACATATACCTATGCAGTATATTGCTTGGCATATGATGGGCACTTGGTTCCGTTTTCCAGTCCGTGAAGATGCATTAAGTCCCTATGACATGCCAGACACCACACCTGACATTCTCTCAGAGGGGACAGAGCAGAACCACTTAGACAGTTTATTGTGGGAACTGCTTTGAAGCAAACTAGCAGGGTGCAGAGACTGCGAAGACCAGAGGACACAGGGGCCTATGTTAGGCAGTGTGGTCAGAGATGCCGTCTCTGGAGAGAAAGCAGGTCGGTTGAGTATAAAGAATGGGGAGGGAGGAGCTGACTGTATGAAGAATGGAAACATCCTCCAGGCTGAGGGACTAGTATCACAGAGACCCCAAAGTAGGAAAAGAGTGGCTTGTTG